ACGGTTGCGAACGGTTGCGAACGGTTGCGAACGGTTGCGAACGGTTGCGGACGGTTGCGAACATAGAAGCAACGGGTCGCGAACAAGACTCCGCCCCCAGACCCCCAAGAGTTAAACGAGAACCCTTCGCTACGCAGTCGGGAAAAAAACACACAGGAAAACTATCTAGATCCAAAATGGAACCCAAGCAGTTCCTGTTGCTTTCCTACTCTTTCTTCTATTTCTTCCTATGTTCAATTTATTTTCCTACTTGTTTCCTATTTTATAAGCTTCTTTCAGCTCAACATAAATTAAATCAGATACACGAAGAAAGAATTGACTCCTTGCACTTGAGGGGGCTGCGACAGATTCTTGGATTATCTAAATACAAACACTCGGGAGTATGCGCTCGCTTCCCAAGAGGCCTTTCTCAAGGTGTTCTCGACTTGGTTGAGAAGCGAGTATACTGAGAGCCTTTCCTACCAACCACGTCGCACAGTGCCCACAGAAAAAGAGAAACAGTTTGGCGGTTCTCGCTAATAGGGGTTTTACAGATCAAGTGAGCCTTTTTTGCAACAAAATAAGCCATTGCAAACCTTACCAAAACTGCGACAAATAGAGGGCAGGACAAAACAGGCTTGTACGAGTCCACATGCCAAGCACCCACATATTTGTTTTTGGTTGCTAACACCAGCAAGAAATGAATGGCAAGGAAAACATCTGTCATGGTAGTGCAAGATGTTTGAACAAATCTCTGAAGTGAAACTGCTCGCAAATCCTTGAGGTCATGACTTCTTATGTAAAGCTGGACTTTGAAGCTGCCGCAGAGCGCCGCAGAGGTGCAAACGGAATCGGACTTATGGCCACGTGAGATAAAGTTGCCTAGCAGAGGTTGCGGGGGACATTTTGGCACACGGTCAATGTATTTAATTCGTGTAAGTTAACTAAGTTTGGATTCATTATGTTTGGCTTCATGGCAGGATCTAGCATTCAAGCGGTGTCCAGTTGTCCGAGAGATGTTGATTGATTTGTTTGATGGACCGTGTGTACATTCACGCCCTGTGCGCAGCACTGGATGTTGATCCTCGAGATCTGCGGAACCTCACCAATACCGTTTTCCGGTATAGAAGAAAAATGCACCCCGTCAGCATGAGAGATATGGTGGTCTCCTTTCATGTTGGCTTGCCGCATTTGTTCTAACTGGTGAGGATGCAAAATTCACTCGCTCGCATTCTCTCGGTCATGCTGGCAAAGCTTTGGTTTCTTAACATCGGCTTCTCGATTTTATTGAGCAGACAGATTCGTTTGAAGGATCATTGCTTTACAAGCAGGCAACTTAATAGCAAGACAAAGTACTTTCAAAATGCAGAGGATTGCCAACTGCGCAGTTCGTGCCAGTGCCACACGACCTTGATCGATCAGTTGCCTGAAGAGTATGCCAAACTTCGCCCTGAACAGTCAGCCGCTTCAGTTTGCCAACTCAAACTACGACCAAACATGAGAGTATGCTAACTCTTGAAGATGCTGTATTGTCAGATGAAGAATTTGCGAGGATTGAGCCTTGGGAGTTTGTTCATCTTACCCAGCTTGTTTTTGGCAAGAAGGCTGGACACGACCTTTTGCACCCTTGCTCATTCTTTTAGAATCTTTGGCTGTGTGAAATGCAGGCAATTTCAGATAGCAATGTAGCAGCAATGTAGCAATGCAAGATAGTAATGACATAGTATTTCTGCTGAAAAGAAAGCTACGGACGAAGAACCCTTTGTATGGTCGAAACTTTGACAGGAATTCCCAAAGCATTTCAAGCGTGCTTGGCGCGGAGAATTTGGACGGACTGCTTGCTTCTCATTGCTTGAGAGAGCTTTGGACCCTAATGTTGAGTGTGTCATGCTGTGGCCTTTTTGTTTTTTGTTTACTAGGAACAAGAAGCTACTAGGGGCTCCTGGCATCGCTACTAGGGGCTCCTGGCCGTACTACCAGGAACAAGAAGCTATTAGAAACAAGTGGACTTTGAACTTTGAGGTTCGGGATTGAGCGGGGAGCGGGGTCTGGTGACTTCAGTGACTGGGCCCAAAAAGTGACAGCCCAAATGCCTTGCCTATGCTTGAAATGTTTTGGAGACCGCACTCAATGGGATGGGTGTAAGCTTTGCTTCAGCTTTGGCGGCTGGTTCAAGCCAAGTTATTGACATATATGTAAAACATGTGTATATAAGATGTTCATTCAAGTAGAGTATCATGCTAAGACTTAGACAACTTGTCATCAGCTACCAAAAGATGCACCAAGCATGATTGCTCTCATTCGCATCATCAAAAGCAGACAGGTCACCCGCTTTGTGCAAGGCTTTGCGGCAAGATCATGACAGCCAAAGCCATGGCTCTTGTTCTCCTGTTGGCCTGCGGCTAAGATGCGGCGAAGAGAAAGGAGTCGCTCAAGATATCGAGACCGTCCTCGTGATGATCGCTATCGCGACCGTCCTCAACGCGAGCACGAGTCACTTCGACCTCGTGAAACGCGGGGTGAAGATCTACCTGCGCTTCGACGAGACCCTCGACTTTCGCATGTAGACCGACCTCGGGGTGGAGCACCTGCAAGAGACGATCATAGACATGAATTGCGAACCAATAGCCGGTATGGTCAAAGTGCTTACCCTGATAATCGGCAAATGGAACGCGATGACAGGCATGCCTATCCTGATGAACACTACAGAGATGACCGATATGATCGAGAAAGGAATTCTCGTGGATATCATCACTCTGAAATGTCCGAACGATACCAAGATCACAAGGATATCCGACAGGAACAAAGAAAGGATCCCAGAGATCAAAGAGATCGAGATCAAAGGGGTCAGAGTGATCGCAATAGCAAGAGCAATCGCAATAGTGATCGCAATGATCCTCGTCAAAACGACCGAGGTCGAAATGAATGGGATCGAAACAATGATCGTCGAGAAGACCGTCATTGGGAGCACAGGGATGAGCGAAGGGACTTCGAGTACTCAGAGCATAGATCCATGTCAAGCCGACCACGTGGCCGACACGAAGCACGAGAAATTTTCATGACAGAAAGGAGACTATGTATGTCAATTTTTGCATTGACTTTATGGACAAGACCTGGATCTTTTTGACGTCAAGGTCTGAACTTTCATTGCACTTGAGGAGAGCTCCAGATGTTCGGGAACTTCGAGACTATGAAGGCAAAAGAGAGAGAATCGATATTGGTGCAGTGCGGGGTGCTTTTAAATAAGGTTGAAGGCCATCGCTAGTAGGATGGAGGCCATCGCTAATAGGTTGGAGGCCATCGCTAGTAGGTTGGAGGCCATTGCTAGTAGGTTGGAGGCCATCGCTAGTAGGTTGGAGGCCATCGCTAATAGGTTTGAGGCCATCGCTAGTAGGTTGGAGGCCATTGCTAGTAGGTTGGAGGCCATCGCTAATAGATCGTTAGTAGGTTGGAGCCAATTGCTAGTAGGTTAGAGGCCATCGCTAGTAGGTTGGAGGCCATCGCTAGCAGAGGCCATCGCTAGTAGGATGGAGGCCATCGCTAACAGGTTGGAGGCCGTCGCTAGTAGGTTGGAGGCCATTGCTAGTAGGTTAGAGGTCATTGCTAGTAGGTTGGAGGCCATTTCTGGTAGGTTGGAGGCCATTGCTAGTAGGTTGGAGGCCATTGCTAGTAGGTGGGAGCCCATCGCTCATAGGTTGGAGGCCATCGCTAGTAGGTTGGAGGCCATCGCTACTAGGTTGGAAGTAGGATGGAGGCAGGTTGGAGGTGATTGCTAGTAGGTTGGAGGCCATTGCTAGTAGGTTCGAGGCCATTGCTAGTAGGTTGGGGGGCCATTGCTAGTAGAGTGGAGGCTGTTGCTAGTAGGCTGGAGACCATTGTTAGAGTAGGCCATTGCTAGTAGGTTGGAGGCCATTGCTAGTACGTTGGAGGCAACCGCTAGTAGGTTGGAGGCCATTGCTAGAGTAGGTTGGAGGCCATTGCTAGGAGTAGGTTCCAGGCCGTTGCTAGGAGCAGGTTGGAGGCCATTGCTATAGTAGGTTGGAGGCCATTGGTAGAGTAGGTTGGAGGCGACTAGAGTAGGTTGGAGGCTGTTGCTAGCAGGTTGGTTATTGCTTGTAGGTTGGAGGCCATCGCTAGTAGGTTGGAGGGTATCGGTAGTAGGATGGAGGCCATCTCTAGTAGGATGGAGGCAGGTTGGAGGCCATTGTGAGGAGGTTAGAGGCCATCGGTAGTAGGTTGGAGGCATTGTTAGAGGCGCTAGTAGGTTGGAGGCCATCACTAGTAGGTTGGAGGCCACTAGTAGGTTGGGGGGGGCATTGCTAGAGTAGGTTGGAGGCCAGTGCCAGAGCAGGTTGGAGGGCAATTGCTAGAGTAGGTTGGGGTCCATTGCTAGAGTAGGTTGAGTAGGTTGGAGGCCATTGCTAGAGAAGGTTGGAGGCCAATAGGCCATTGCCAGTAGGTTGGAGGCCATTGCTAGTAGTAGATTGGAGGAGGTTGGAGGCCATTGCTAGTATGTTGGAGGCCATTGGTAGTAGGTTGGAGGAGGTTGGAGGCCAGCTATTAGGTTGGAGGCCAGTGCTAGGTTGGGACCATCAGTAGTATAGGTTGGAGG